TTTCTATGTGAAGAGGGTGGATTTCCGGAACATGATTAATGGCAAGGAAGAAAATAACTTTAAGGATGTGCAGCCTGCCACATTAGGGACTAAGGAGAATGTCTTCACATTCCAAGGACCTGTGTTATTTTGCAGAGCACTTTGCTTCAAACTTGAAGTAGATGAACTGCCTGATCAAAGCAGAATTAAGATAAACTTTGCTGCATCTGAGTTGCTATACAGATCTGATCCAAAGTCATTCAAACAAGAAAAATCTAGCTCAAATTTGTAGAGCTAGGCTGTTCACTCTTTGAAAAGCATAGAAATGTGCAGCACAAGCACCTTCATGTTTTTGCTTTCAGCATGATTTATGACTATTATTGGAATGGATGCAAATATTAATCTACTCTGGCTTCCGTTGATTTTATTGTAAACATAAATTGAGTAGTTGGGATTGAAATGCATACGTATAGGCCAGAGGGGTTGAAGTGAAACGTCAAATAACGTTAACAGAGAAGAACTCAACATTTTGAATCCCTCACATGGAAAGCCCTGCATATATGAAGCAAAATGTACTTTGAGCAAGTATACTTTTCCCTCTTTTTCACATTTGCAAATTGAAATTAATAATATTTGCCCAGCATTAGCATTGAGTAGCATTAACTAGTAAGCAAATGTATTCATACTCAGCCCTACAGTCACAGTGGAGGAGGTTGGGTCATCTCTGTGTTTACTCAGTTTACTCACTTTGTTTACAGCCCATGTTTTTCTACCTTGATAAAAATCTATACATTCTTTTTTAAAATGTATCTCTTTGTTGTATTTTTAATGATGTTTACAACAAACAAGAAAAACCAATTTTTTTAAAACAGGGAAAACAGTGGAAGAGGGAAGAATGGGAAGAGTGGCTAGGGCTCTGGAGGCCAGAAGGGGCTCACATTGAGTACTATATACAAAGCATCAAGATTATTGGCCATCACAGAGGTTATGGATACATGCTTGTGTGTGCTCCCCAGATATCTGCATATGATTATCTCCCCAGATATCTGCATAGAAAGGGTCTTCAGTATTCTGCACACTCGCAAAAGGATAGGAATGTCAGACCCCTTGTCAAAGCAAGATCCTGTCTTGGAGGACACTTATTTTCTCTACAAAAAAAGAAGTGTGTAACAAGCCAACATGCCATCTTCTATGGCAATCCAAGAAGTCCCAAAATGTCATTTATGAATATTATTTCAATACTACATTTATGCCAGAAAGCCTTGGGGATGTTTAAAGGTTAATCATCTGGATACAAACCTATATCTATTTATTTGTAACCCCAATTGCTTATTTAGGCTCACATGAGAATGTTAATTCTTTTGGTTTAGTCTTCTGAATCAATCTTAGAAATCCTCTTCTCCCCTATCATGACTAGGCTTTGCTATTCTTATGTAATGCAACACCAAAAATACTTAAAATAGTTAGAAATATTGAAAGCAAAGCCAAGAGAGAAAGACTACTTGACGTTGGAGGAAGTCCATTTGGACATACTTGTACTTCAGCTAGAAGGTCAGAACAGCTGGTTCCAAAAGTCTCTTTACAAAAGAAACTAGTCATGCCTAAAAAAAGCAAAGCAAATCTTCCCTCAGAGTTGGAGATCACATTGCGTTGATTGGGTATTAGTTTTCCATGCACATGACTGTAACAAAGTGAAACTGTAAAAAAAAGCAGATTGACTTTACTTGATGGTGGAGGGTAGGAAGTAGAAACTATCAAGTTGGACGGCTAGAAAATGGATATAAAGGGAAGTTAAATGTGCTGGAACCAATTTCAACCTACCATATTGGCCCGAATATAAGCTGCACCCAAATATAAGCCACACCTTTAAAATTCGGGGGGGGGGGTTAAGAAAAAAAAGACAATATCCGAATATAAGCCACTCCCTTAAAATTCCGCAGGCACTCACACCCGTTCCATTTTACTGTATGTCTGTTTCAGCAGTGATATCGTAAAAGCCCATTTTTGTAAGGTTGCGGATTTAAGCCACACTTTAACTTTTCACAGTCAGAATTTGGAAAAAAAGGGAGGCTTATATTCAGGCCAATACGGTATACTGTACTTGAAAATCAGGAGACAAAATTTTACATAGGTGTAAGTCAGGAAAGAAGTGGTTTGGTTTTCAAATAAAGGAAGAAAAGGACAAAGGGGAGCTGTTACTAGTATTAAAAGCAACCTTAATCTCAATATTACAGAAATTATGTAACATGTACAATTGTTAAGAACCAAGAAGTCAGAAGGAAAGCCACCTAGTGTGGTCAGGGGCAAAATAACGCAAGAGGGTTTCTACCTACAGGCAAAGACAGTCCAACTGATAAGCAATCTTGCAAGCACACACAGCACCAAACCTGGAAGTGACCTTAAAATTCCACAGAAAGATGGAGCGGGGGCAGGGCAGGGCAGAACATGGGTGGGGTTGGGTGGGGCAGAATGCTTTACGCAGACCCCACCAATGCATGTGGGGGTCCCCAACATGACCTACATGCAAAACGAAGATTGCCAGTATTTAATAGCTGTGTAGATGAGGCAAATTCAGCTGGTGCAGGATGTCATGCAAGCTACATCTACTGAAATTCCCTCTTCTATACAACTATTCAGTGTATAGGAGACCTTGTCCTCTTTTTCATCTGCCCACCCTAAGTTCCTCTACCTCTACATCAATAAGCCATGACAGATGCTCAGTCAGTCTGCTCCCTCCAGAAGAAAGTGGTACTCAAGCCAAAGCTGGCATTTTTGGAAATATTGCAAATGTTTTACAGCAGGAGTCATGGGTCAAGGAGGTAATTTATGGCTACTTCAATATATTTTGCCATTCTGAATAACATTCATTGCCCACTAAGCATGCTACGTTCTCACTGCTCTGTTTTTGGGCAGTTTCTCTCCTACAACTTTCTGCCCCCCCCCAAACAAAAATGTGTTCTTGAAATATAGGGGTTCCCATAAGCTTGCTGATACTTCCCCTCCTGTACATAAATGGTTTTGCTTTGTCTACATAAGGACTGACATTCAGAAATGTGAGTTTTGTGTTTGTTCAGTCAGATATACTAACATATTTATTGCTAAAATTGGTTTGCTGTCTTGAAGGAATACTCATTAATGGTGAATCCCATAAAATAGTAACTATATCTGCCACTGCCATAACCACATTGCGGCTGTCTTGACGGAAGCCTAGACTGTTGTCAGTGAATCTAATCATAACAAATATAGTTTGCTTCCAGGGCCTGTTTGACTAACATTTTTTCCAGGGCAAGAGGAGGAATTCCATTCAGATGTGTTTATCATAGTGGCAGTGTGGGTGAGGTGCATGACTGAACCCAGTGCCTGCACGACACCAGAAATAAATTAACTGTTTCCAAAGAAAGAATGTGTTTGCAAGGTACAGGATGGAAACTGGTCAATGATTTATAGCTTATGTGGCATCTATTCACTACAGTCACATTACAGAATGATTTATCATTATACAAGTGTATTGCTCTTCTGTCATTATCTGGAAACACTTAAACCAAATTTTGGTCCTCTTATTGATTTCTGGTCTATGAAGGAATCTTTGCATCATACAGCACAAACATGAGTGGCAGTGTGGTTCAGACTAGAGTCAACCAACACGGCAGAAAAATATCTATCTTTGCACCTTCTTATTGAATGTTTCTGTTTAGGATGTAAACTATTTGCCCTTAACGCTATTCCTTTTATTGCTGTAAAAAGGTTTCTCTTTTAGAGGCATTTTCCATATATACTGCCGCTGCCCCCCCAACCGAGAATTCCAGCTGTACTGCACCAGCTTTCCTAAATACAAAGCTCTGCTGTGGCATTGTCAAGGACCATGGTGGCTTAAGGTTCATTGTCAGAAGCAGAAGTCTCAATAAAATTACTGTTTTCTGACAAGTTAGTAAAGTAACTTGTTCTGATGCTATTGGATTGCAGTGGTCCTATACATGGTGAAATACCTGAAAGAATTAACTTGCCTCCAAAGATGGAAAAGAATAAAAGTGAACAGCAGCTAATTTGCACATACCAAAAACAATAACAACAAAGCATATAAATGGCAACGTCATAAGCAAGTAAAAATTAAAAAAACAACCAGCTCTCATCCAAAATGTTTACCTGACCGTGGGCAACAGCTAACCACAGCTCTCAAACTGGTGCTGAGTCAAACTGTTATTAGAGCTTAGGTATTATTTGTAGTTAAGTAGTATATAAGTTGTTTAAATACATAAAAATAAATAACATTTCCCATAGTGTTCTCAACATAGTATTCTTTGGGGTCATAGTGGAAAATACCTAGCTGTCTGGTATCACTTTCAGTCATTGTGGGAAATACCTGAGGCTGCTTGGAGTGCCAGGCTAGGTTTTTTTTTAAGAGTGGGGAGGCTCAGTTTCTATCTTGTATATATGGCCCTTCACATGAGTGAGCACTGAGGTGATACATCTTCACAAGATGCTTATGTTGTAAACCACCTCAGATGAAGGGTGGTATATAAATGTTAACAACAACAACAACATGACCTTAGGTTGCACCAATTGGAGCTTTCCCCCCTATCACTATTTGTAGCATGGGGGGGCATTTTTGTGGATACTGATACTATGAAGGAAAACCTTTATTCCTCATGCATAGCAGATCAGATACAAATCTGGGAAGCCCCTACTTAATATTAAATAATCATAAACCTCCAGCATAATTGGCAGCAGTACATTCAGCATCCCATGTAATTAGGCCCTAAGATCTGCCCACATGATCTACTCCCCCTTTCTTTTTCTGTGGACACATCATCTGAGTGGAGCCTAAATAAAGTCATTTATCGAAAGGACACATCAAGCACATTAGAATGCCATTAGAATTCCTCTGAGATTAGTGCCTTTTTTCAACTTAATGACCGTAATAATGAACACTAGATGTTCATTTGAATACTATATAGTATCTTGTAGTGAAGTTTATTCTGCGAGCAGTCTGCTGGGAGGAGCTGAATGCAGTTGGTTACCAAGGAGACAGGAGAGAACGCAAGTGAAAGGAAGAAGACAGAGTCTGCAGCTGGAGAGTCTGGGGAGAGGGGAAAAACCAAAGAAAAAAACTAAAACTGGGATGGAGATATACTGGCACCTTAGGGAGATCTGTGGGGAAAGCTGAGAAGATGCAGCTTGGAAGTCAAGGGGGAAGCCTTGCAGTCTAGAGCCATGAAAGAGATTTCTAGAACACTGAAGCAGACCTAGAAAAGGAGCTCAGAAGACCCTGCCTGGAAAACTTGGCACAGACATGAAGCCTTAGAAACCAGGCACAAGCTTGCCATCAGGTTCCAGGCAGTGATCTGTCATGTGAGAACAGGGGTATCCCATGTACGTATAAGTGTTCCTTTTTGTATCTGTAACATGTGGATGATATGTATACAGGAATAGTAGAACTGGTCCAATTTTAGTGAAAGGAATATAGAATCCAGGAGACTGGGTCTTTCTAGCCCCATATTGTTTGCACACTGATTGGCAGCAGCTGTTCAGAGTTTCGGACAGGCATCTTTCCCAGTCCTGCTCTGCCACTGAGCTGTGGCTTAGTGGCTCTTCTACTATAGGACCCATGTTCTATTGGTAAATTGAAATATCAAAGCTACTGCCTCTGAACTTGATTCCTATTCCCACACCTTATACAGTGGTACCTCGGGTTAAGAACTTAATTCGTTCTGGAGGTCTGTTCTTAACCTGAAACTGTTCTTAACCTGAAGCACCACTTTAGCTAATAGGGCCTCCCGCTGCCGCCGCGCCGCTGCTGCACGATTTCTGTTCTCATCCTGAAGCAAAGTTCTTAACCCAAGGTACTATTTGTAGGTTAGCGGAGTCTGTAACCTGAAGCGTATGTAACCTGAAGCGTCTGTAACCCAAGGTACCACTGTAACTGTGGCGAATAGTGTTGATTATTCACTGGTGAAGAAAACAGGACTTTCACACAGATACTCTGCTCTCCAGGCGAGCTGCAAGTTATGGTGAGCTTTTTTTAACAAAATAAATTACAGCATGCCTTATTTCTAAGTAATGTATCACATTTAGCCTGTGGCGAACATCTGAAATGTACCCAGAGAGAAAGAATGGCTTTTGCAACGTAATTCTTGGCTTGCACATTTGCCTCGCTAGTGACGACCATTTCCTCCTCTTGTTAAACTGAATGGCAAAATTCCCATTCATGTCCACTGGGAGCAGAATCGGAACCAGTCTGTGTATCCTGGACATTTTTAAAAGGTAAAAGGCTTCCAGCTTGACTGACATATACAGTGTCTTATTTCCCATATACCTTGTGTTTTGTCAGTCTCGTGCTAGGATTGATATCCTTCTCCTAGAACAATTGCTCTTTGGGGACACAAAGTCACCTCAAAAGCCTTGCATAGTACATTAGCAGAAAGGCAAAACAATAACCGTTGCATCAAAAATAATATTTTCCATTTTCATTGTGGAGCTGTCAGCTATTCCTGAGAAACACGGATATGGATTTTTTAAATGAAAAACACATGTCAAATCCCAGCATGCATGCCTTGTTTATGCGTTCTTGCAAAATAACTACTGAAAGGACCAATCTCCAGAAACTGCCTGATGGGACATTATCAGCCCGTAGTATGCCAAAGGCACCTTTAAACATGTGTTCACGGTGCAATTGCCTTTTTCTCAATAGGCAACTAGGCACTTGAAATGCATTTTTCAGACAATGGCCAGTATCTTCACAAAGTGATGACTGCTGTGTCAAAACTATTGTAGTTTGGACTGGTCCTACTGGTCCTGGCCTGAGGAGTTTTGTCCTTCACCACCATCTTTCTGGTGTCCCTGCTTGTGATTTTACAAATGATTTCTGGCTTTCACTAAAGGATTAATTTTAAATTCTGTACTCCAAAATCCAAACCATGTACAAAAAAAAAAATGAGCAAAGTGCAATTTGTGAATGATGTGTAATAGCTAAAATCATATGGTTTGTAAGCAGCATTTGCTATCTTTTTCCTGGCTTGATTTACACACATTCCAGCAATTCAACATATCCTGTACTTGTGAACCAGTTACTGAGTACATAATATAACATATATATTGAACAGCAGTTATATTGCAACATTTAGTTCAAATGGTTCCTATGGCACCTTACAGAAACAAATCATAAGGTAGTCCCTGCCCTCAGGTTTACAATAAGAAAAGATACTAAACATGAAGAAGAAGGGGTGGGGCAGGGGGAAGCAAGCTCAAGAACCATTTTTTTAAAAGATATAGGTCTTGTAACACATAGTTCTGTCTAAGATTCTGGCTTTCTAGGAAAGCAACAATTCCACAGAAAAAGATTTCCCCACCCCAATCAGATTTAAGAGCAAAACAGCAGACCCTCCAATTGGACATCCGTGATTTAGAGAAGCCGTTCCGGTTTCCATTTTGATCCTAGAATTCCTATTGCCATCAAGCCAGCAGTTAGAGAGGATGGAGTTATTTGACCCCTGAGCAGTCTGAAGGCAATCCTGTATAGGGAAGTGTTTGGGGTTTTTTTCATTTTTAATGTTTTGTTATGTTTTTATATGTATTGGAAGCTGCCCAGAGTGGGTGGGGCAACCCAGTAAGAAAGTATAAACAGTAAAATTATCATTATGGAATGGGACATCCCTATTTTTATCAGAGAAATGTTGGAGGGTATGAAACAGGGGATAATGTCCAGGCCAGGAGAGCAGGGATGCTCCTAACATACCATTGTTTTTCCTCTCTAACTGCTGGCTTGATGGCAATAGGAATTGTCACAGAAGGGGTTCTGATGGAGTTGTCCTCCTCCCTCACATTAGTGAACAGCAGCTCTGTTGGTTCTGGGCAACCCTTTCCTGGAGGCACCTGCCCGCTCTGCCCCCAGATCAGAGCCAGGAGCAGAGCAGATGATGTCTATGTCAGGAAGACAGGGCTGCTCCTACCACACAGTTCTTTTCTCAGACATCTAACATCTGAAGCAATCCTACAACTCCTGCCAACCTTTGGTTATTTTGATGTGGTCTATCCCTGGCTTTGATTTTGGTTGTGCTCTAGGATTCTGGCACACATTGGCCTAAGCTTCTTTGATGAAGAGATGAAGCTTATAAGTAGCATAAAGTTCCATAAAGTCACTTGAGGTGTGATAGCTTTAGAAAACAGCCACTTCCAAGTACATACTCCCCATGCATATAATTATTACATAATGTGTAATTACGTGAACTTAGTGCAAATGCCTAGATAAACTAAGGTTCCTGAATCCCACTCCAGGACCACATTAAAAGGAAGCAAAGGCCAATGCCTCAAAAACCAGAGCTGCTTCCTAAGCTCCTTCCACCAGCCTTCCAGACTCTACCCACAAGCTCTTCAAGAAATAGTTTGGAGCAGCATATTTCCAGGCATCCCTTCAAAAATGTTGTCTTCATAAAGAGTCGATACTGGCTCATGATCCGGCACCACAGACAAAGATATTTGCTTTCCCTTTTTCTAACATTTGTATACAGAAATACGTTACAAGGAAGCAGCAGGAGAAGCAGTAGCTTGATTTTGCACGTCTTTTCAGGCTTTCTGGGTGACATGCAAAGAAAGAGCACAAACATTTGAACTCATGTGTTTCTCCTTGGTTGGGAAACAAGATGAACAAGTCATGTGTGCTTCTGCTGTCATAATTACTTCCTTGTAACATATGAGTCCATCCTCATTTCTGGCCAATCAAGCACATCTTAGCAATAGAAAGATTCTGCTCAAGTTGGGCAGAAAGTAGAATTCTCTGTTTCTCAGCTCCAGATCAATCTTTGCCTTCATTTGAGTGTTTCATTGCCCATGAATTTTCAGAGACCTTAACAGATCATTTGTCGGAACTTTCAGAAGTTCTTTATGCCAGCATATTTTGAGAGAAATCATGGCATGAACTGAGACAATCCACTGGCAGTGAAGAATTCAAAGCCTGCTTTTCTCCCTCCCCATTTTGGAAGCCTCTTTTCTGCCAGCAAATTTTTAGAGCTTTCTGCTCAGGCCGATACTATTTCCAGCACAGCTAACAGCTGATAGCCAAGACCAAGACCAATCTGAATTTGCACCAACACCCATCATGGATTAAGTTAAATTTGTGTCATTAACATGCCATGTATTTGTTTTGTAACTACCGTGTGCCGCCACATGGACTTTTTTACTCTCATTCCCAAACTGCAGCCTTTACCCCCAGACTCATTAAAACTCCTAGTGCATATTTCTACATTAAAGCACTGGATATGAAATCATGTACCAGGGGAGAAGTGTAAAGTTAAGTTTAATCATCCACAGCTTGGGTGATCACAGAATGACATCACATTCTAGCACAGCCCTATTCAAACTACTGCAGAAGTTAAAAACCATGCATAATTTGAAAGTTTCCAAATATCATGCTTTCAGCATGGTTCAGCTTGAATTCAGCCTAAGCAATCTACACCACAGATATTAATACCTTCAGCCTCACTAGACAGCATAAGCAAATTGGACTGAGTCAATCAAAATGGCAGCCTCAGAATTTGTAAAATTTTGCACAGTGTCATTCCCATTTACCATTTTAATTTCAAATTACTTTTTGATATCCACTCCATCTGTGACGGCTACTTTAACTTTAAAGTTTTATAACTCAGTTGCTTTTTGGCACTTGGTTCACAGTCTGGTAGTTTCAATGTGTTTCCAAAGCTGCGAATGTTTGGCGACTTGCCAATCTTCTCCAGCCAGACGACACTCCATTTATGCCAGGGGCCCCATTCACTTCTGGGTAATCTTCTGGGGGCAACATGCCAGTGATTGGCAGGTCCAGATGCAAAAGTGGGCAGAGCAATGATGGGGAGAGCTTGGGATGGGGTGTTACTTGGAGAAAATCTTGAAGGTCAGATAGAGAGAACTGGTTCCTTACCCGCAATTTATTAAATAATCTCTACTTTCCCCTCAATGGGACGCGGGTGGCACTGTGGGTTAAACCACAGAGCCTAGGACTTGCCAATTAGAAGGTCAGCGGTTCGAATCCCCGCAATGGGGTGAGCTCTCATTGCTTGGTCCCTGCTCCTGCCAACCTAGCAGTTCGAAAGCACATCAAAGTGCAAGTAGATAAATAGGTACCACTCCGGCGGGAAGGTAAATGGTGTTTCCGTGCGTTGCTCTGGTTTGCCAGAAGCGGCTTAGTCATGCTGGCCACATGACCCGGAAGCTGTACACCGGCTCCCTCAGCCAATAAAGCGAGATGAGCACCGCAACCCCAGAGTCGGTCACGACTGGACCTAATGGTCAGGGGTCCCTTTACCTTTACCTTACTATCCCCTCAGAGAGAACAAAAAATCCCTACACATTCACAGCTTCAGGTCTGATATTCTGCTTGGCTGGGGGCCCCATTAAAAATACAATCAGCCAAGGTGGGGTAAGGACAAGCACACTTCTAGGTGACTGAAATTCTTGCTTAAGATGAGAGATTTGTGGATAGGGGTGGAGGATGCTATCCAAGGACTTCCTCAACTATTCGTACAGTTTAAGCAACAGGAGGATGGGATATATCGTCCCTCTCCTATTGATTCAAGCTTAGGTATTCAGATGAGCTCTAAAATCCCAGTATCTTTGGGAGTAATAAAGATCTGGTGTCCTTCCCTATATGCCATTCTCAGAGTGGCCTTCTACCTGGTATTTCTGCAAAGCTCAATTACAGCTGGCAAAGCCACCTTTATATTTCACTGCCTTCACCACCAGCCACAAAAATCCCTTTGAAGCCCATTGTCTAGGACTGCTTTTTATTACAGTTCTTATCAACTTGTTTTCATCACAGTTTTTCTGCAACATAGCTTGGCTTGATGGTGGGTGGGACCAGTGGCTCCACTGAGAAACCCCACAGGGAAGGCACCCAAGCTCCTATGTAAAGCATGTAGTTTTATATAAGTAGCAGGGATCAGCTCCAACATATATTTTTAGTGCAATGGAACCCATGGAAAAAGTGGAGATGAAAGCACTCCTAAGCAGGCGCAGGGTAGGGAAGGACTGTAGCTCTATGGTAGAGCATCTTCCTTGCATGCAGAAGGTCCCAGGTTCCACCAGTGATGCCTCCAGGTACGGCTGGGGGAAATATCCTGTCTGAAACCCTGGAAAGCTATTGCCAGAATGTACAACACTGGGCTAAATAGACCAGTGGTCTGGCTCAGTATAATGCAAATGGTTCTCTGGTAGGGTCGGCAGGGTGCAATCCAGTTGTCTGAATTGCATAGATTAAAATGTGTGAGCAACAGGTATGGGTGTCTGACCATCTGCGTCAAAAAAAGAAGAGGACTGAACTACTGATCCCTTCCAACTCTCTTGAGTGTGGTAAGCTCCAGTATTAAGTACAAATGTGTTACTTGCTGGCAATGGATGTGCTTCATGAAACAACAGGTACTGTATGTTACATTGAATTGCACAGGGGCTAACAATGAAGCTCACATATGATACTGTGATAAGCCAGCTGCTAACTACATACACTGCAGGGATTTGGGTGCACTTTGCTTTCAACCCTATCCTGTTCCCTTCAGCTAAAGTATAAATTTAATTCCACCCAGTCTAGCATGCCCCCTCCAGAAAGACGAATGCTCAGTTTACAGTACCAGCTTCTTCTGGGAAAGAACAAGAATTATGGATAACACTCCTCCCCCTGGGAATTGACAAATTAGTTAATTTGCTGATGGGTGCAGAACAAACAGATATACTGTAATGAGTTGCCTGGGAATGAAAAAAAGGAATGGATCAGGGACTATGTGAAGCTGTCATACACTGTCAGAACATCTAGTACAGGACTTTACTCTGGACAGCCCTTCAAGGTCTTCAGAGCAAGGCCTGTCCCCAACCTGCTCTCTAAAATCATTCTTGAGTAGAGATAGCAGAGCTTGGACTGGGGACCTTATACATAAATGGTGCATGTCCTACATCTGAACCTGTCTCTATGCACTGGTGACAGGCATGGACATTCTACAATCTGCACTCTCTTCTAAGCTTGATCCAGACATCATAACTGGGACGACAGACAGCGGTCACATTGTGACTTGGGCAAACCAGTGGAGATCTGAAGGCAAACAAAGCTAGTAACAGGCAAGCAAATTAAGCAGGGTTCAAGGGGAGTCCAGGCAGAGCTGGGCAAAAAGAACAGAATAAGGAAGTCAACTGGAAGCATAACCAAGGAGCTCAAAACAGAAGTTGCTGAACAGCCAACTAGCATCCTTTTCATGGTCCTTTTTATAAAGCAACTGGGAGGCTGGAGCCAATGAGAGCTCAGGGCTTGCCAAAAATGCAGACTGTGAATAAGGAAGAATGATGCCTGATGTGGGCCCCATTGAAGCAAAACACATACAAAAGAGAAAGTTGCCTCAGTAACTACAGACACCACTCAGAAGCAACTATAGGCCTGTTTACATGACCAAACAGGATAGACTGAATGGATCGACAGGGGAAGTGGTATTGTGACTTTTTGCAGAGTCCCAGGCCATGCAAGAAAGGCAATATATACTTCTAATATGTAATAACAATACACATGCACACATAGGCTGTGTGCAGATGAGCTGATGAACTTGTGGGGGTTGCAGATGTTCAAATCTCTAATGCACCCATTTATTCTTCCCTGTGAATGAACAGAGCCTGTGGTTCGAGGGAGGCATATGTGGTCTTGCCAGTGAAATCACACAAGCAAGAAGTTGGGAACATCTGTGACTCTTCAAAGAGAATCTGACTCTGCTTTTCTATCTGTTCAAAACACTAAAGAAAAAAGGGTACATAAGAAGACCCAAGTCACAGTTTGGAGAACAGCTGATTTACTGGTAGCAAAGTATTACTGACTAATGCTTCCAGATGTTAGATAAGCATGGTTCATGACAGAAAGGAAGTTAGAAGTATATGAATGTGAACCAATGTGCCATCCACTTTTTGAGCACTTTCTTGTAGCTTCACTGAAGTCCTTGTACTTGGTACAAACATTGGTAACGAATGTGCCTTGTAACCCTCTTACAACTAGCTGGAGAAATAAAATGTATTAATGATATACAGGTCCTTTCAAAACAGCAGGGTATGGTAACCAAGGAGAATATTTAGAAAGCCATGCATGCAGAAATGCTCTTGGACCCATACAAGCATACCTTAAGTCATAACTTGCTGCAGGGGTCCAGTATTGTGTAAGCAGCTGAAATTTTAACACATCTGGATTCACTTTTGATTTGTAGTTCACCATGTTCAGCTCTCCTTGTCCTTCAAATTGTACAGTACTGGTACCTGCCTTCGTATTTTCTGTTGGGAGGTTCTCATGCCCTTGTCCCTCGCTTTTAAGGCAGACTCATTGGGTGCAATGATGCCTAATGAAGCACTAGTTTCAATATGTGACTGGGGCTCACAAGATGTCTTCTGCTTTTTGAAATAGATCTGCTTCTTTGCTTTCTCTCTCTAGCAGCCTTATATTTTCACTGCATTTCTAGGGTTTCCAAATCTTGTAAAATTTGCAGAAGCAGCATCATTCATTCAGAACAAGCAACTTTTCATCCAGTAAAGTGTGGGGTCCATGCATTTAGAATTCCAGTGGGGCAAGTGCCCATTTGCCTACCCTTGCAGACACTTGTGCAGAAGTACCAAAATATTTTAGACAAAAACCCTCACGAGTGGGTATCTTTAGTAGTTAAGAAATTGTGACTGAATATTAGGAGTAGGGAATAGAAAACTGAGTGGGAAGATGGAATGGAGTGGCTATAATCCTGAACAGCGGCAGTCAACACTGCAAGATTTTGTTGCAGCAGGTCTTACCTATATAAAGTCATTTTAAAATTGTTGAAATCCAAGCTTTTATTTAAAATAAAAATACATACATCTTTAGGACTCATTATAGTTGGAGTTCAATTTTATAAATGCAGTGATGACAATATGAGTTACATGCTCAGAAATTGGAAAAGGGGGAATCCATTGTATATGATCTCAAATACCATTTCACATTTCTGTAAAACCTTAGTACTCAAAAGGTGACTTCCACATCTAGGTTTGATATTTCCACCAACCATGAATTAAAATTTACCATTTACAGGAAATGAATATGCAAGTTTTGCCACACAAAATATGTAAAGTATAAGTAAAATGTGCAAAGTAACTACAGCCCTTTGACATGGGCATTCATTGTATTTTTTAGTACTAAATGAGCTACATGTTCTTCAGCTAGGCCATTACCTCTATCATCTGATTATTGAATCGAATGCTAATGAAAACCAGGAATGAGATAGCCAGAGGAAACTGACTTCAGTGTTGCTACCACAGCCTTATTTGGTAAGAAAGTTCAAGTGTGTTGTTTTCATATATAATCTCATAATCATTCCTGCCCCTAAGCTGCACAGCATGTGGGGAAGACAGCCTGAATCTAAAGGCATTTACATGGAAGAAAATTTTGAACCAGGAAACTGGTCTTCAACATGTGGGTATGAAGGGTGGTATTTACTGAGCTATTTCTTTTATGAACTGGTGGTAGCATACATTAATATATTAGCAACTCCTTTAGGACTTAGTCACTGGGGTGCAGTGCGCTCTGCAACTTTTCTGGTAGGTAGGCCTTTAAGAGGCACAATGGCGGAGCAAAAAACTGAAATAAAGAAAGCAAAGGGCTCTGATGTTGAACAAAACCTGTGTTTGTCAACAACTCTGATGAAAAATTAAAAGACAAATAAAAGTAAACGGTTGAGAACGCTATGGGAAACATCATCTAAAGAGAAAATTAACTTTCACAAAGATCAGAACAAAACACTTTACCCCAGGCAGCCTCCAAAGCCCACACTTGGAAGGTGGTAGGCAATCAATGGGAACTGAAGAGCTTAGCTTCACTTTGATGGATCAGAAACTAAATGTTTCTAATGATAAAGGTGCACGTATTCAGACCAAAACAAACTCCAGGCATTCTCCAGACAGGAGAAATATGCTCCGTTGACCACACTGTGTTTCAGTTATGAACTTTATCACTTGAAGAGTAGGCACAAGCAAGACTCCTCAGAATATCCTAATCTGTGGTAGCAAAGGAACAGGGTAGGATAATGCAACTTGATTCTGGTACTCTCAGGGGTGGGCAGCAGGAGCAAGGGAAGAGCAGTTACAGTGGCATTTTCCCAGCAGGGGATGGGGCAAGCTGAGAAGTGACAAGGTAGAATTGCTTCCAATGCGGCATACAAGAAAATCAATAAAAAAGCAAGTATTTAAAATACAGTTAAAAGCTCATAATCAGAAAATAGAATAGTCTTTAAATGTATTTCTTACCCCTCAGACTTCATAATGTTAGAATTAACTTATGCAGATGTTACACATTTCTGCAATTTTACTGACTTTATGCAGAAGTAGAACTTTCTGACTACAGATCCAGAATAGCCAAAAAACTCTGAATAGAAAGTCAGCCAGCCATAATTCAGCTTTCACATCTGCAACTCTGATCTTGATAATGCAACAGTATGGAAATATAAAGCAAATAATAAAATTAGAGTTAACAAGGCTTATCTGCCACTTCCAATGAAAATTATACGGTCTTTCCATTCCAACACTTGTTAATCTGTTCCAACTTAGCAAAAGAACACAAACTGGTAATAGCAGCTGAAGAATGATATGATGGATTATATAAATTATAAATTCCTAAGGAGGCATACACCCCATTTTTCTCAAAACATGGAAGTAAAGAAATAATACCAATTATGCTTTCCACATACACACACCCTAAAGTAATGTGTATATCTGTGCAATGGTTTGAGTTAGTCATCTGAAGGGGCAGTTCCAAATCTCACTATCCATAATTGATTTTCCAGATTATGATTGCCAGTGGTATTGTAAACCTCACCTGTAATAAAGGTGAGCAAACCACCAAAAGTAATATTATAGCAAGAAGCTGCTTCTAGTGGTACACTGGTTCTTAAATAGCAAAGCCATAAGCTTATACAATTACTGAAACAAAAGCATTCTTGGTAAAATCCCACATCTGTAAGATGAAGCATCACCCATAGCTGCTGTGGAATTGGCATCGGCCACACATTCTATGATACTGCATTAAAGTGGTGAGACTATCAGCTGCAAATCAGGACTTAAGTTCATTTACAACCACACATAGGAATGCAATGGACAAGATTCTAGTGGTCTCCATAGAATAAGAGCAGACCATTTTGACACCTTATCTGATATATCATTAGGACAGTGTATTCTAGAAATATGACTTCAGATGGGTTGGTGTTTGTCTTTTACGGCAAACCCAAGCATACCTACACTCACAGAATTCTTGTGACACTCCAGTCTAACAGATTAACTGCAGCCTAAACATTAGTAGACTAGAGCCCAGCCCAAACGAAGATAATTTTACTAAATAATCTAGCTGTGCCAGTCCCCACAAAAATAAACCAGTCTCTTACCTTAAATCAACACTTTCACACACAAGCTGTGCAGTACTCTGATATAAGAAAGCGTTCCACTGAAGTAAAATTCCTAGTGAATTTAAGGGATCAGGATTGTACCAGCAGGTAGATTAAACAGGTCAGTATATAAGGCTTTGCTTTCTTTAGTAATTCTCCACCCAAGATAATGTACTCAGATGTCAGATCTGC